TCGTCTTCCTTCTTCCTTTCCTCATCATGCTGCTTCTCCAGGAGCAGGCACAGATTCTGCAGGACAGCAGGAGAAGAAACACAATGATGGGGGTGAGCAGGGTCTCCTGGGGGGACGGTGGAGTGTGCTCTGGACTGGTGCTCCAGTCCCCATGGGCTTCTGGGAAGCTCAGCTGTCCCCGCAGTGAGATGGGCACAGAAAAGCAGGCTCTCCTGCCTGGCTGTGCAGCCCTGGCTGGGAGATGGCCCTCTCTGGGCCTCTGGGGCTGCCCAAAGCAGGAGCGCCCTCAGGTGGGCACCGCCTATTCCTCCTTGCCCTCACCTTTTTCTCATCCGTGTACATGACTTCCGACTTGTCCATGCCCATGCACGTGAGGTAGTCATAGAACTGTTGCATTTGCTCTGGGGTCGCCTCTGGCTGGTCAGCTGCAGGAGGGAGCAAGGGGACAGGTGAGAAGGGGTCAGTGTGTGTGTGTGTGTGTGTTTCAGGGAGGGGTGGGTAACGGCCACGGAGGACTGGAGGTCTAGGGGCCCAGCCCTAGGAGCAGGTGGTCCTGGGGGAAGCCTGGTGGGAGTTTGGGGGTGCCTACCAAAGAAGGACAGCCCCATGTTCTGCTTGTCTTCTGGGAAAGAGGCGAGCATGAAGATCTTGGGGTCCTTGGAGAGGACCAGTTGCCCATAATGTTCTGTGCCATTCTCTGGAAGAGAAAGCCTCTGGGTGAGACCATGGAGTCAGCACAGTGGGTCCCTCCTCACAGGCGAGAAAACCTCGGAGCGCCCAGGCCCACACAGCCAGTTGGTGAGGGCCTGGGCCACGTGTCCCTCACTCCTACTGTGCACCAGGCCCTGTGCCGAATGGATGTGGAATCAGAGGGGCCTCTGTGAACTGTGGCTCTCAGGGCCTTTCTCCCCATTTTGCAGATGAGGAAAATGAGGTTCAGAGAGGAGCCTCGGGTGTTGGTTCAATTCCATTGGCATTTGTGTGTTCCTGCTATGGGCCTTCTCTGCAGTGATGGTGGGGACATGGGTGAAGTCACTGCCTGCCCAATAAACAGGCTGTCACCCTTAGGTCCCAGAGGGTAAAGAGTGGTTGAGCCCTGGTTGGTTTGGCTAAGTGGATAGAGAAACGGCCCATGGACTGAAGGGTCCAGGGTTTAATTCGGCCAAGGGCATGTACCTTGGTTGCTGGCTGGATCCCTAGCCCTGGTTGGGAGGCAACCAATCATTGTGTCTCTCACATTGATGTTTCCTTTCTCTCTGTCTCTTCCCCTCCCTTTCACTCTCTAAAAATCAATGGGAAAATATCCTCAGGTGAGGATTAATAAAAACAAACAAAAGGAGTGGTTGAGAGGCAGGACTGGAACCAACCTCTGGTTGAGTCCAGGTCTAACTGCAGGAGGAGTGAGAGAGACAAGTGGGCTCCTGTCTCTCCATTTCCTGAGCTGATCACTGCAATGTCCTCCTTGGGTGGTTTGTGAGTATTAAAGTGGGTTAATTCATAGAAAGCACTTCAAACAGCACCCGGCACATAGTAAGAGCTCAGAGATGCTGGCAGCTATGACTGATGGCTTCAGTGTGCAGGCAGCGGGCCCATGGAGATGGAAGAAGAGGGCGTCTCTGAGCTCTCTGTGCCCAAAGCTCCAGGTCCCCTCCTTTGGGCTGACCCACCCACCATCTCCCCATCCCACACAGCAACCCTTCCCTGAGGGCTCACCGGATTTGGTCAGGGTCCCATTTTCCCGTTGGACCTTCAGGATGGTGGAGTTATAGAAGCACTGGTTTCCCCTAAAGCCAGACAGAAGAGGGGAGAAAAACAGTAAGTGGACTGTCACAATCTTGGAGGGGGAGAGTCAGGTGGCAATTAGAGTCAGCCCCGCCCCCATCCCCTGAGTGAGAAGGCTGAGGCCAGGAGGGGGGAGGGGCTTGCTCAAGGTGTTTGGGCAGCTGGGAGGAGGAGCCAGAAGCTGGGTTGAGCTGGCTTGGGCCATATGTGGGTCTTACATGGTTGTGTACTCTCTGCTCAGTATCGTGTCCTCCGTGTGGTTGGGGGTGAAGTAAAAGAAGGCTGCATGGATTTCGCTAGCTTCCTTCTTGTACTCGGGTAAGCGGTAAGCCGAGGCGATATAAAACCACTTGCCAGAGATCTGAGGAGAAGCCAGGAGCAGGTGATGGAGACTGAGAGCTTAATCCTTGATAGTCAGCTGGGAGGAGACTCTGGCAGATCTTTCCACTTTGCAAATCAGGAGACAGAGGCCCGGGGGAGGGGTGGGGCTGCTGGAGCTCACTCTAGAAATCAGCCTTCACAGATGCCCCTGCTCCCACCCCCCCACCCTCGCCCTGGTGCCCCCGACCCAGTGCAGCTTGCCCTGCTGAGGGACTTTGCAAGGCAGCTCTGAGCTTGGAGGCAGAGGACCACCGCTGGAGGCTGGCCTGGTTCTCACCCCAGCGCCCAGGAGAGGCTGACCAAAAGCTGGCAGGGGAAGGAAGTCCAGAGAGGGAGACAGCTCTCACAGCGCTCAGGGCCCAGGCACCCACCTGGTCCAGGGAGGCATTGGTGATGGGCACCGAGAAATTGGGACACGCCGGGCTCTGGGCGTCCAGCAGGGGAAGAAGGCTCAAGACTGCAAGGGCCCAGGGCAGCGCCATGGCAAGACGAGGATGTGGCTAGAGTCCGAGGTACTGGTGGCTGAGGGGTGCGGTGACCTTTATAATGAGCTGTGGGCAGGGCCCTGGGGACCCGCTGTGACACAATCGGTGAGCGTTTGGGAAATGTTATGTGCAGAACATTCCCTCTTTTCCCAAAAGTCAGCCCCAGGTAAAGCCTCCAAGCTCTGGTCTAATTTGGGTCCCTGACCTTGAGATCAGGGCCCAAAGGTCTGGCTGTTCAAAGCCAAGGTGGAAAGGGCTGGAGTGATATTAGTGAAGCTGGTAGATTCCATAGAGGGGCAGGTGCTCATGGTTTCATCCAACTCCTGCCCCTCTGAGTGCCAGGACTTGAGAGGGACCCAGTCATAAATCAAATGCTGAAGGCAACTTGGAGGTTCCCAGGCTAGCCTGGGTGTGGTGGCGATGTGCGGGGGAGTAGTGCAGGGGGCAGGGGAAGGCAAACATGGATTCAGTTCCAGTTGAGTGTGGTAACAACTGTGAAAGACCAAAAGTCCAGAGATGCCCCAATCCAGGACGGGAGGCAGGGATATTTTCCAAAAAACAAACAAACAAAAAACAACATGGGGCGTTAAGTTGAATGTCTGTTTTCAGTAAATGTATTATGTGAACCATCTCCAACATCTGAAACAGGAAATCACTTCTGTGTTGTCTTCATCCTCTGCTATTCAAGTGGGAAGCTTGCTCTCTTTCACCACCTGCCCCAGTCCTGGAGCAGTGCCCAGCACACAGTGGGTGCTCAGGAATCCTGTGCAATTACTAACTCTACCACCCTTCTGCATTTCCACATGGCGGGGTCAAATCTTTATCCATACAAATCATATTTTCACAAAGTATCATTGTGGTACTTACAACTTTGGATGCTCGTCCATTTTATTTTTTTAACTGATATTTTTATTGATTTCAAGAGAGAGAGAGAGAGAGACATCAATAATGAGAATCATTGATTGGCTGCCTCCTGCCCACCCCCTACTGGGGATGGAGCTGGCAACCCAGGCTTGTCCCCTTGACCAGAGTTGAACCTCTGACCCTTTAGTCTGCAGGCTGATGCTCCATCCACTGAACCAAACCAGCTAGGGCCATTTTATATATTTTGAATAGTTTTTCATGTTTCACTGTAGTGAGTGGTTGTGATTTTAAAGCTCACATCACCTTTCATTCACTTCCTAGATTATAATTTACTTAACCATGCCCTCTCTTTATATCTTTCTATAGCATTTTATGTTATTACTAGAGGCCTGGTGAATGAAATTCATGCATGGGGCTTGGGGGGTGTCCCACAGCCCAGCTTGCACCCTCTCCAAACTGGGACCCCTGGAAGGATGTCCGACTGCCCGTTTAGGCCCAATCCTCCATGGCCCTCTCTGTACCTCATCTGGAGACCCCCACTCTGGCCTGGGGATCCCTGTGGAATTGGGCCAGTGGCCAGCTACCTGCCAGGCCGTGTCCTATCCCCCCTCACCGTAGCAGCGCGTAACTCAGCTTTTCTGGAATGTGTGTGCATCAGTGATATTTGTATATTGGGGGCATTGGAACAGTCTGTTTTCATTATGAGGCAAATGAAGAAGAATGACTACCTACCTTAAAAAAAAAAAGAAAAGCCAAAGAACCCAGAAACATTCCCAAAGTTTGTGCTGTTTGTGGTGTATGTCACTTGACCTGTGGTTTCTAAAGTCAGTTTGGTGGGGTAGAAGGTTGACACAGCCATTCCCCCCTTCCCCACCCGTGGGCCTGTTGGGGGCACATTCCCACTCTTCCTGCATCCCTCTGGAGGCTTCTGTGTTTCCAACATTATTTCCAACATTCACCCTGTCTCTGCCCTGGCCCTGGCGCTCACCTCATCAGGCACCCTGCCAGCTCACCTCCCAGATGGCCAGGGTGATGTTTGCCATAAGGTCCTTCAAGCCGGGCACCATGCCCTGTGCCTGAGTCCTCTCCACCCCTTACCCACCTGAACTCCCGCTTTGTTCCTCTGCCTTATGTTCTTCAAACCTGTCCTGTCAGACCCTTGGCTTGCAGTGGAACAGCAGGTGTTATCAAGCTCCTAATCTATCTAGACTGGCTCAGATGCCCCTTCCAGGAAGCCTTCCCAGATTCCCCCTCCTGTGGAAGGAACCTTCTCGTGCTGGGCTCCCACATATGTACCATCATCCATTCTGGCATACGTGCTGGGGTTACAGAAGGAGTTTCTGCAGCCTGGGGTGCAGGCTTCCACATGAATGAATGAGTGAATGAATGAGTGAGTGAGCAAATGACAACCTGCCTATTCCAAATGCAGAAACTTTATTGGTGCAACTGTGGAAAAGAACTGAGGCACAGGGTGGTTGGGGTTCTCAGGATAGGCCCCCAAAGTCCCTGAGGTCCTAATCCAATGCTGTTCCGGTCTTGGACCTCTCATCTTCCTTCTTCCTTTCCTCATCGTGCTGCTTCTCCAGGAGCAGGCACAGATTCTGCAGGACAGCAGGAGAAGAAACACAATGATAGGGGTGGGCAGGGGCTCCTGGGGGGACGGTGGGGTGCGCTCTGGACTGGGGCTCCAGTCCCCATGGGCTTCTGGGAAGCTCAGCTGTCCCTGCAGTGAGATGGGCACAGAAAAGCAGGCTCTCCTGCCTGGCTGTGCAGCCCAGGCTGGGAGATGGCCCTCTCTGGGCCTCTGGGGCTGCCCAAAGCAGGAGCGCCCTCAGGTGGGCACTGCCTAGTCCTCCTTGCCCTCACCTTTTTCTCATCGGAGTACATGACTTCTGACTTGTCCATGCCCATGCACGTGAGGTAGTCATAGAACTGTTGCATTTGCTCTGGGGTTGCCTCTGGCTTGTCAGCTGCAGGAGGGAGCAAGGGGACAGGTGAGAAGGGGTCAGTGTGTGTGTTTCGGGGAGGGGTGGGTAAAGGCCATGGAGGACTGGAGGTCTAGGGGCCCAGCCCTTGGAGCAGGTGGTCCTGAGGGAAGGCCGCTGGGAGTTTGGAGGTGCCTACCAAAGAAGGACAGCCCCATTTTCTGCTTGTCTTCTGGGAAAGAGGCGAGGATGAAGGTCTTGGGGTCCTTGGGGAGCAGCAGGTGGCCAAAATCTTCTGTGTCATTCTCTGGAAGGAAAAGCCTCTGGGTGAGACCATGAAGATGGCACAGTGGGTCCCTCCTCACAGGCGAGGAAACCTGGGTGCGCCCAGGCCCATGCAGCCAATCTGTGAGGGCCAGGCGTTCACCTGGGCCACGTGTCCCTCACTCCTACTGTGCACCAGGCCCTGTGCCGAATGGATGTGGAATCAGAGGAGCCTCTGTGAACTGTGGCTGTCAGGGTCTTTCTCCCCATTTTGCAGATGAGGAAAATAAGGTTCAGAGAGGAGCCTCGGGTGTTGGTTCAGTTCCATTGGCATTTGTGTGTTCCTGCTATGGGCCTTCTCTGCAGTGATGGTGGGGATATGGGTGAAGTCACCGCCTGCCCAATAAACAGGCTGCCACCCTTAGGTCCCAGAGAGAAAAGAGTGGTTGAGCTCTAGTAGGTTTGGCTAAGTGGATAGAGCATTGGCCCACGATTGAAGGGTCCAGGGTTCAATTTGGCCAAGGGCATGTACCTTGGTTGCAGGCTCGATCCCTAGCCCTGGTTGGGAGGCAACCAATCAATGTGTCTCTCTCACTTTGATGTTTCCTTTCTCTCTGTCTCTCCCCCTCCCTTTCACTCTCTCTAAAAATCAATGGGAAAATATCCTCAGGTGAGGGTTAATAAAAACAAACAAAAAGACTGGAGGAGAGGCAGGACTGGAACCAACCTCGGGGAGAGTCCAGGTCTAACTGCAGGAGGAGTGAGAGAGACAAGGGGGCACCTTTCTCTCCATTTCCTGAGCTGATCACTGCAATGTCCTCCTTGGGTGGTTTGTGAGTATTAAAGTGGGTTAATTCATAGAAAGCACTTCAAACAGCACCCGGCACATAGTAAGAGCTCAGAGATGTTGGCAGCTATGACTGATGGCTTCAGTGTGCAGGCAGCAGGCCCATGGAGATGTAAGAAGAGGGCGTCTCCGGGCTCTCTGTGCCCAAAGCCCCAGGTCCCTTCCTTTGGGCTGACCCACCCACCATCTCCCCATCTCACACAGTACCCCTTCCCCTCAGGGCTCACCGGATTTGGTCAGGGTCGCATTTTCCCCATGGACCTCCAGGCTGCTGGAGATATAGATGCACTGGTCCCCCCTAAAGCCGGACAGAAGAAGGAAGAAAAACAGTAAGATAGTCAAGGTGAAGTGGACTGTCACAATCTTGGACGGGGAGAGTCAGGTGGTAATTAGAGTCAGCCCCACCCCCATTCCCTGGATGAGAAGGCTGAGGCCAGGAGGGGGGAGGGGCTTGCTCCAGGTGTTTGGGCAGCTGGGAGGAGGAGCCAGAAGCTGGGCTGAGCTGGCATGCTTGGGTCATGTGCGGGTCTTACATGGTCATGTACTGTCTGAGCAGTATCGTGTCCTCCGTGTGGTTGGGGGTGAAGTAAAAGAAGGCTGCATGGATTTCGCTAGCTTCCTTCTTGTACTCGGGTAAGCGGTAAGCCGAGGCGATATAAAACCACTTGCCAGAGATCTGAGGAGAAGCCAGGAGCAGGTGATAGAGACTGAGAGCTTAATCCTTGATAGTCAGCTGGGGGGAGACTCTGGCATGTCTTTCCACTTTGCAAATCAGGAGACAGAGGCCCGGGGGAGGGGTGGGGCTGCTGGAGCTCACTCTAGAAATCAGCCTTCACTGATGCCCCTGCTTCCACCCCCCCACCCTCGCCCTGGTGGCCCCCACCCAGTCACCTTGCCCTGCTGAGGGACTTTGCAAGGAGGCTCTGAGCTTGGAGGCAGAGGACCACCGCTGGAGGCTGGCCTGGTTCTCACCCCAGCGCCCAGGAGAGGCTGACCAAAAGCCCGCAGGGGAAGGCAGTCCAGAGAGGGAGTCAGCTCTCACAGCGCTCAGGGCCCAGGCACCCACCTGGTCCATGGAGGCATTGGTGATGGGCACCGAGAAATTGGGACACGCTGGGCTCTGGGCGTCCAGCAGGGGAAGAAGGCTCAAGACTGCAAGGGCCCAGGGCAGCGCCATGGCAAGACCAGGATGTGGCTAGAGTCCGAGGTACTGGTGGCTGAGGAGTGCGGTGACCTTTATAATGAGCTGTGGGCAGGGCCCTGGGGACCTGCTGTGACACAATTGGTGAGCGTTTGGCAAATGCCATTAGCAAAACCTTCCCTCCTTTCCCAAAAGGTCAGGCCAGGTAAAGCCTCCAAGCTCAGGTCTAATTTGGGTCCCTGACCTCGAGACCAGGGCCCAAAGGTCTGGCTGTTCAAAGCCAAGGTGGAAAGGGCTGGAGTGATATTAGTGAAGATGGTAGATTCCATAGAGGGGCAGGTGCTCAGGGTTTCATCCAACTCCTGCCCCTCTGAGTGCCAGGACTTGAGAGGGACCCAGTCATAAATCAAATGCTGAAGGCAACTTGGAGGTTCCCAGGCTAGCCTGGGTGTAGGGGCGATGGACGGGGAAGGGGTTCAGGGGGCGGGGGAAGGCAAACATGGATTCAGTTCCAGTTGAGTGTAGTAACAACTGTGAAAGACCAAAAGTCCAGAGATGCCCCAACCCAGGCCTGGAGGCAGGGACATTTTCCAAAAAACAAACAAACAGATAAACAAAAAAAAACATGGGGCGTTAAGTTGAATGTCTGTTTTCAGTAAATGTATTATGTGAACCATCTCCAACATCTGAAACAGGAAATCACTTCTGTGTTGTCTTCATCCTCTGCTATTCAAGTGGGAAGCTTGCTCTCTTTCACCAGCTGCCCCAATCCTGGAGCAGTGCCCAGCACACAGTGGGTGCTCAGGAAATCCTGTGCAATTACTAACTCTACCACCCTTCTGCATTTCTACTTGACGGGGTCAAATCTTTATTCATACAAGTAATATTTTCACAAAGTATTATTATGGTATGCTTACAACTTTGGGTGCTCATCCATTTTAATTTTAATTTTTTAAATGATAATTTTATTGATTTCAGAGAAGGGAGTGGGAGAGAGAGAGATAGAAACTTCAATGATGAGAATTTTTGATTGGCTGACTCCTGCATGCCCCCTAGTAGGGGTCGAGCCCACAACCCTGGCTTTTGCCCTTGACCCGAATGGAACCTGGGACCCTTTACTTCGCAGGCTGATGCTCCATCCACTGAACCGAACCGGCTAGGGCCATCTATTTATATAAAAGCCTAATATGTGCCCTAACTGGTTTGGCTCAGTGGATAGAGCGTCGGGCTGCGCACCGAAGGGTCCCAGGTTCGATTCCGGTCAAGGGCATGTACCTTGGCTTCGGGCCCATCCCCAGTAGGGGTTGTGCAGGAGGCAGCTGATCGATGTTTCTCGCTCATTGATGTTTCTAACTCTCTATCCCTCTCCCTTCCTCTCTGTAAAAAATCAAAATATATTTTAAAAAATAAAAAAATAAGAGCCTAATATGCTAAGTGTCCCCTCGGGAGTTTGATTGCTCACTATGACGTGCACTGACCACCAGATGGTGGTGAGGAAGAGAGGAAGGCCCCAGCTGGCAGCCAGCAGCCGCTAGGGACCCTACCCGTGCACGAATTTCATGCACTGGGCCTCTAGTTTTATATATTTTGAATATTTTTTCATGTTTCACTGTAGTGAGTGGTTGTGATTTTAAAGTTCACATCACCTTTCAGTCACTTCCTAGATTATAATTTACTTAATCATGCCCTCTCTTTATATCTTTCTGTAGCATTTTATGTTATTGTTTTCAGCTTTATTGAGGTATAATTGTCTATAGTGTTTTACATTGTGATTTTTCCTCTCTGATGACAGGTGTCAGAGAGTGACCAAATCGCTTTCTAAAATTACCACTCCTGTCCAGAGTCACGTGTAAGGCTTTAGTGTTATCTAAAATAGCCCCAAACTAGAAAAGATTCAAAAGCTAAGTTAGCAGGAAAATGGAAAAACAAATGGTAGTGTTTCTGTGCAATGAAATATTACTTGGCAATAAAAAGCAATGAACTACGGACACGGGGAACAATATGAATGGATCTCAAAAACATAATGCTGGGCAAAAGAAGCCAGCCTTGGTCGAGCCTATGCTGTCTGTTCTGTAGGGGTTCAGAACAAGCGCCCCAAGATGTGCCATTCAGCAGCTTCTCTTTACCTGAACACAATCCAGGACCAGGAGGCTCAGGAAGAACCTTGAACCTTCCCCCTAACCGCCTAAAAGAATTGAGGACAGCCCTAGCCAGTTTGACTCAGTGGATAGAGTGTTGGCCTGTGGACTCAAGGGTCTTGGGTTCGATTCCAGTCAAGGGCACATACCCCAGTTTGCAGGCTCGATCCCCAGAAGGGGGCGTGAAGGAGGCAGCCGATCAATGATTCTCTCTCATGATTGATGTTTCTATTTCTCTCTCTCTCTCCCTTCCTCTCTGAAATCAATAAAAAATATATTAAAAAAAAAAGAATTTAGGATAGAGGACCTGCCCCAGGAAGGGAGCTATCATCTTGGAGAACTGGAATTATCTAGGCGAACTGGAGACCCAAGCAAAGAGCAGGGTTTGGTCTTTCTTGTAACCTGCGTGCCTCTTGAAGCAAAACCATAGGTAGTGAGTGTGATATAGGAAATGTATGGATTTGGTCTCTCCCTCTGTTTCCTGGCACAGATCTTCTAAAACCCTCTGAATCTAAAACCCTCTGAATATCTCTTTGTATGCTAATGAGATGGCAGGTGTCTGCGGCCTCCTGGACAGCCTCAGAGTGGGAGCTGGTTACCAGGGGAACCAACCAAGTGATTAGAGGGTTGAACTTTTAGCCCCACGCCTGACCTCTGGAGAGGGATCTGGGGCTGGAGATTGACTTGATCACTATTGAATGCCCAACAATTGAGTCAATCCTGCCGCCTTAAGGAAGCTTTCACACGGGGAGGTGCTGGGGAGGTGCCTGTGCCGAGAGGGCCTGCAAGCTCCGTGCCCCTCCCCAGACTTCGCTCTCTGCACCTCCTCTGACTGTTCCTGAGCTATAATATCCTTTTTCATACACGGGTGATCTAGGCAGTAAACTCCTCACCCTGAGTTCTGTGAGCTGTGGATTTTATAGGTCTAAACTGCCAAACTCGCAGGCAGGTTCGGTTAGAAGCACAGGTGACAACCAGCACGGGTGATTGGCCTCTGAGTGAAGAGCCTCGCGGGACTGAGCCCTTACCTGTGGGACCTGATGCTGACTCCGGTGAATTGAATTGGAGGACACCCAGCTAGCATCCGGAGAGTCGGATCGCTTAATGTGGGAGAGAATCCGCACTGTGAGCAGAGAGAAACTAATTTCCCCCTACAATCGAGGGCCTCTCCCCAGAAGGGATGCGTGCCCCTCACCCTCCTCACTGTTGTCAGGCTGCCCCTAGAGGCCTCGCTCTCCTCCCAAGAGTCTATCCAAATAGTTCCTTCAAGGGCACCCAGCACTCACCCCGACACAGGGCCATTTTCTCCATCTTCTTAAATTTCAGGGATGCTTTACAGTGGTTCTCAACCTTCTGGCCCTTTAAATACAGTTCCTCATGTTGTGACCCCCAACCATAAAATTATTTTCGTTGCTACTTCATAACTGTAATGTTGCTACTGTTATGAATCGGAATGTAAATATCTGATAAGCAGGATGGTCTTAGGTGACCCCTGTGAAAGGGTCGTTCAACCGCCAAAGGGGTCTCGACCCACAGGTTGAGAACCGCTGCTTTAGTACCTCTATGGACTGAGGTTCTGGGTGTCCCTCCCTAGCCTGCCCCTTCATCTGGCCCTGCCACAATCTCAAGAGAAGTTTGACAGGGAAGAAAGAGACAGAATAGCCATCAGGGCAGTGTAGGCTGGGGATGAAGTGTTTTCAGCTATATCGCTTGCTAGATGTGTGACCTTGGGCAAGTTACTTCTCTGTGCCTCAATTTTCCTACCTGTAAAATGGGGATAATGATCGTACATACCTACCTTCTGGACTGTTAGGATTAAATCAGTCCACATGTGTAAAATGCTTGTTAAGTGAAACAAATGTGCTTCTAAGGCAGTGGTACTCAACCTTCCTAATGCTGCGACCCTTTAATACAGTTCCTCATGTTGTGGTGACCCCCAACCATAAAATTATTTTCGTTGCTACTTCATAACTGTAATTTTGCTACTGTTATGAATCGTAATGTAAATATCTGATATGCAGGATGTATTTTCATTGTTACAAATTGAACATAATGAAAGCATAGTGATTAATCACAAAAACAGTATGTAATTATATATGTGTTTTCCGATGGTCTTAGGCGACCCCTGTGAAAGGGTCGTTCGACCCCCAAAGGGGTCGCGACCCACAGGTTGAGAACCACTCTTCTAAGGGGTCGCCTATTTCTAACACCAGTCACCATCAGTTTAATGACAGGTTGGGGTGGGGAGGAAAGAAAGACAGATTCTTGCATTCCATAACTACTTCAGGGATTGCAGATTACATCCCACTTCTAAAGACATCAAAATGCAAAAATGTGTCTATAGTAGGAGTAAGAAAAGAGGATATTTCCCCGATCAGATAGATGAGAAAACAGTGAGGTCAGGTGCAGAGGTGAGGTTTAGATAAACAGGGACATGCACCCATGTGAAAGAATGTATTTGCTGAGGAAGCCGGTTCATCCACACTTTTTCATCAAGGCCATGGCTGAGCTCTGATTCCGACGATTAATTTGTGGTCTTCTGCCTGAACAGCCAGGAAGAATACATTGGCAGAGCAAGCTGTTCTAATTAGGAACTTTGTGTTCGGCGGAGGAAATACCCAAAAAGAAGATTTGCTTAAGTTCAAGACCTGTTCTGTGGTTCGGGGCACCTTATGTAACCGCTTTGGACTTCAGCTCCCTCATCCGAAGGGCCAAGGTAATAACATGTGTCTCAGAGGGTCACGCATGGGCTGCAAACGTCCCACCCGCACGGCTCCGGGCTCACGGTGGGCGAGAAACGCAGCTGCTGTTATTTTGAACGGTGCTGTCATTGGGTTGCACCGTGTGACGCTGAGGATTTTATAGGTCAGAAAGCTGTTGAATATCATTCCATTTCATATGGTTCACCCTA